CCCCCCCCCCCCCCCTCTGAAATTTAGCAATTGAGGCTTTCAGGGGCTCTCAAGAGTCAATCAAGGGTTCTCGGACCACCTCGTATTTCGCACACTGCCCTCAATCGTACTCCCAACAACATTGTGGGGCTGTTTAATTCCATTTGTACAGAAATAAAAACCAGACAAAAAACGTTAGCCACCGTAAACGATGGCAACATATCACTGTTGACTCTGCAGCTCTGCTTGCTATTAATATGACAAACCCCAAAACAGGTGACAAACTACCAATGTTTTAAAGCTTTTGTCTGCAGCTCATTTCAACATATCATTTTTGTGTTCAGCATTAAAAGCCCAAACGCACTGAGAGCGATAAACTCTGTGCGTCAGTTGATGCTCCCATGATGCACTGCATCAAATTTGAAATGCCAACACACAGAACCAGCAGTTTTGTAGAAAAATGTTGCTATTTAAGCAACATTTTGGTATATTACAGATAGCCCTTAACACCATATCTTTTAAATTATTGATATGATATAAATGAAAGTTTAGCTTATTCATAATGTGAAATTGGCATCATGCAATCCATAGATGGAAGAAGTATCACTCTGTTGGAGTGTGGACGACTCACTGGTGTACAGTGGTGTTACAGAGTGAAGCTTCTCTTCACCTCATAAACATATTTGGCTGAGTACAGACGTCGTCCTGCAGAGAGAACATCATTTACATGAAGTAGTGACAGCTGATGTGACCTACAGCTGGCCAAGTTTCTCATTTTAAGCAGTGAGAGCATCAGAGTAGAGACGTCAAAGCAGTTGGAATCACGTCATTACACTTCTGGTGCATGTTCGGCCATTTGAAACAATAGGTGCACTCCTTCAGCTCAGGGTCCAATGGGGCCTCCGCCTTCGAACTGCAGTCGGAGCTCCGGCGGGAGGAGCGCTCAGCTCCCGGCAGCAGCAGCGTCTCCTCCTCCTCCTCCAGGAGCAGAGTTTCTCCTCTCTGGAAGCTAACACCAACACCACGCTGCTGGAGACCCAGGACGTATTGCTGGACCTGCTGGAGGGAAGTGAGGCACGGGAGAACCACGACTGAGAAGGGCAGACTGTCGGACCCTGCTGCAGTAAAATGAGAGGTTTTCTAAAGGGACTCTGGTGCTCAGAGACACTACCACTTTAGTCCACAGGAAGCTCCAAAATCAACACAAAATGAAAGTTCCTAGTAGTAGCAATGTTTCTCTGCCACACTGAACTTTGAAGTTTTAGTTAAATTTCTTTGTAATGTTTTATTACGATGTGGAGAAATAGTAATTAGAGGACTACAGATGTTTCATAGCAAGCTGAAAAAGACAAACCATGGATATTTTGTCACCCTATAAAGTTCAAGCAATTGTGTTAGCTGACAGTTGGCTATTTACACAACCAGCAGAATATGAGCAACATTCATGTGGTTTTGGACAACACAAACAATGTCTAATTTTACTCTCCATTTTGTTCTCTATCAACTCCTGAGAAATATCAGTTTCATGGAGTTCATGTGTCGTGACTATATTGAGTGGCAGAGCTTTCAGGTTGTCGAGAAAGATTTGCACATCTGTCCATCTGAAGTTGGACTGTTAGATCCGAGCCAGTCAAATTTTTGTGCAAACCAGCCCCCATCTAGACTTCCCTAAACATCCCATTCTTCTTCTCTGAAGCTCTCTTTCTTCAAGATCAAACTGTCAAAAATAATAAGAGCAGATAATTTGGCTGCTATTTCCTCTGTAACCTTTGGATCTGACTGAGTCATAGAAGAGTCCAGAGCAGATGGCTAATGAGGCAGTAAGTGTGCTAAATACCAGACTGTCTTCCCTTAACGGCACTCCTACCACAGTGACAAATTTTCAATTAAAGTGTCAGTAAATGCTTCTGCTGTGTATTACTCATGGACTACTGTTGGTATTTACCAGACTGAAGCAACCCATAAAGCCAGGATTAAACAGGATGTTACTACTGTATGGGGTTTTAAAAGCACCACACACCACTGTTGCTGAACAAAGTCTTCTATTTATTCATGTATTTACAGCTTGTTCATTCACTAACTTCTTTTATTTAATATTTATTTATTTATTTTTAGTGCAGCGATAGATCTACGTGCCATTATACCTTGATGCATGCTGCAGAAGAGCGATGCTGTATCTTTCTAGATGTATATTTCTATGAAAGGACTTGAAAACACAGGACGCTTTATTAGTGATGTAACCAACTTGAATCGCCTTAACTTTTTTTTTGTACACCAACATGGATTAATGGCTGTATTTTAGTTTGTTTCTTCATTTATTTGTTTGCGTAAAATGAGTGAATGCATAGTTTATATTGTGGTTTTCTAATCAGAATTCCATCCAATTCAGCATTTAATCACGTGGGTAGATAGTAAGATAGAAGCTGTGATGTGTGATTTTGTCCATCAGAAGTGCTGCAGTTTGTTTACACAATACTGGTGCACAAGTGTTCAAAAGCAGATTCTACCTGCAAAAATATCCACATTTTAAAGCAGTAGTTTGACATTTTGGGAAATGAGCTAGGAGAGAAATTTGATATAAATTATACATCAAACAGAAATGTAAGAAAGAAACCTGGTTAGAGACAGTGAGTGAGCACAACATCAGACCGATAGACTCCCTTTCTGTTTCTAAACATGACATATTTTTCTGGGTGGTGCGTAGATTGAGGCAGAATAATTCTCTCAACACTTGGGAATGTTAATATTTACCAATAAGACCAGATAGTTAGCTAGCTAGCTAATCCATCTCTAGAGCTGGCTAGTTAGCTAGCTAGCTAGCTAATCCATCTCTAGAGCTGGCTAGTTAGCTAGCTAGCTAGCTAATCCATCTCTAGAGCTGGCTAATTAGCTAGCTAGCTAGCTAATCCATCGCTAGAGCTGGCTAGTTAGCTAGCTAGCTAGCTAATCCATCTCTAGAGCTGGCTAGTTAGCTAGCTAGCTAGCTAATCCATCTCTAGAGCTGGCTAGTTAGCTAGCTAGCTAGCTAATCCATCTCTAGAGCTGGCTAGTTAGCTAGTCCATCTCCAGAGCTATCTAGGTAGCTAGCTAGTCCACAAAGCTTGCGCAAAGCTCTTCTGAAAAAGTATTCTCCTAGTGGTAAGGAGTGAGGCAGAGGGACCGTTAGCGTTGGGGATCATTTTCTGTAACAAGTGTAGCTTGAAAGCATGGTGAAATCAGCTAGGTAGCTTGCTAATTAGCCAACTGCGAAATGTATTAACTTTAGCAATGTAATACTTTGTCCACACACGAAAGCTAAGCTAAACTATTAGCAACATTTTTATGCCGAACCAGGCTAACCAACTTTTGGCTCTAGCTCCATACTTATTGCACAGATATGAGAGCAGTATGGATCATCTTAACTTTAATTAAAAACAGAGTGTTTCACAATATGTCAACTACTACTTTAAAACCGAGGTCGGGACCTGCTTAGTAATCTTTTCAGTGACCAACAATGCGCTTTAGCTTCATGGCAGCAATTATTTGCCAAAACTAAATGTGAATTTTTTTTTAATGTATTTTAAAGGTGCATATCATTTTGGAATGAAACTCTCATAACAGCAAGTCAGATGGCGTCTCAATGCAAAAAAACAACAAGAAAGAAGAAGCACGCTTGCAGATCCGTCAGCTTCCAAACCGACATCACTTCTACTTCATCTTCAGAATGTAATTTCATAAATAAAGACTTTCTTTCACACATTCAAACGAGTCCTGATTTACAGCTTTTTGAAGATCCAACATATTCGACCGATAGAATTTAAGGATTTGAGGCCACAATGCTGTCAAGCTCCCCCACTCTGGTTTCTAATGACAGCAAGAAGCAGCTGTACTGAAAACATTCATAAAATCCAAGAATAATGTATCAGACACAATCTTCCTGCATGACGCACATCTGTCTCTAATCCAGATTTTAGAGTGCACTCTGGGCACATCTAATCCCAAAATAAACAAATCACGTCAGATTTGCCTATGCTACCACTACTTAAAACATAAAAAAAACAGCACTGCAGCAAGGCAACTGATCCTGCGGTCTAGTCCTTGTTGTTCATTAATGCATCTGCTGCTTTAAGGTAACTCACTGACTCATGTTCTAATATGTCTGGCTGTGGTTTATACCCACAGGCAGATCCTCTGACGTCTGCTGTGTCTTGTAATATGTTGTGTCTGGGATGAATTAATAAACATTTACACACACATTTCTTTGAAATGAACTACACCCCAAAAAAACGGAAATATGATATAAATAGTTTACAAATCCCTGCGTATGCAAAGCCGACGGCTTTGGGTAGTTTGGTTGGATTTGAACAGGAAGGAAAAGGATCAGATTTGAACTGAGCGTGACCCAGAATTAGGGGTTTTGTCAACATTTTTTTCTTTTAAATCGTTGCTCAGTAGACATTAAAAATCATCTGCGTTACTGAGGTAATGTCACCCTCATTTACAGGGTTGAACTGAGAATATCTGTTTCAGTCACCTTGACACATCTATGAGTACAAATCTAATAAGAGTAACAACCAAAAACTAAATATTTAGGGCCATTGACGGGAATAGAATGCAGTTTATAGCAGAAATGGGATTTGTGAGATCTCCTCCACTGTTAATATAATGGAAGTTCCCTCCTTACTTGTACATCTGATCTATTTAATCAATTGTTGTCTGTATAATAAGGCCAAGTTGCCCAGTAATTGTGACCTGGATGTTGACGCTAATTAACATGCAAAAGTCATAAAAGGTCCAAGTACACAACTCATTTGGAGGAATAGGTTAAACGTTTTCAGAAATACACCTTTTTGCTTCGCGTCTGTGAACGAGGAGTTCGATATCGATGTCACGTCTGTGTGTTTTAAAGCTGCATTCATTGATTTTAATGGCCACTTCGGTGCAAACAGTCCGAGTTAAAGTGTACCAGCAGTATTTGATATTTTGACCGTGGAAGCAGCTCAACTAACTGCAAACAACGAGACTAGAGATGGTAAGATACCATTTTTTCCTTCCCGATACCGATACCTGAACTCGGCCGATACAGAACCGATCCACTGATGGAGACAGCAACAAAAAGAAAACAAACAAACTGTATGTGTGTTACCAATACAACCATTAGCTTAAGCTCAACACATGGTGAATATATACAGTATATATATATATAATATGTGAACAGGAAGTTCTCTCTGACGGGTCACAAGAGTGAACTCCCTCTGAACCCTGTACTGTTAGAGTGTAATATGCTATGTGGTATTCTGCTGACATCTGCTGGTTTTACCGAGGTCTGGCTAAAATATTGGACTTTGATCGGCTGTAACACAGATAATTACAAGCCTTAAAATTGAAACAACAATAGAGTACAATATACAGTATTAATTTAATTTTGTGAACTCAAAACAGAGACGAGAGATGTCCTTAAAATCTGTAACTCGCATAGAGAGTAAAGTTAGGTTAACGTAACTCCACACAGAGTACTTAACATGATAAATAGAGAATTACAAGACTTAAAATTGAAACAATAGAGTACAATATACAGTCTTAATTTAATTTTGTGAACTCAAAACAGAGACGAGAGATGTCCTTAAAATCCGTAACTCGCATTGTAGGAACTATTTATTTGATGTTAGTATTTTGCTATTTAATTCATAAGTAGTATTGTTTAATTATTCTCGATGTTTGCTTATTTAGGTTAGATTGTTTGATATATTAAGATTGCTTTTTCTCTTTAATTGTCATTTGTTTAGTTATATTATTTTTTCTTGGTGCCCGGAAACACTACCACTTTCAGCCACAGGGACCGCTAAAATCAACTCTAAATGAAAGTTCTGTGTTGCAACTTTAAGTCAAATTTTGAATGCAGGACTTTCACTTTTGTGAGAGTATTTTGTGAGTTGTGTATCAGCTGCTTAGCTTTGATGGAGGAAGTAAAGCAATAATAATATCTGACAACTCAAGTTGGATGTTGTAAAAATATGACATTTTAATGACAACTTTTACAAATCACATCATTCTTTTTTAACAGCTAAGAGATCCAGACAGTTCAGTTAGACTCCAAAGAGTCTCCGCACAGCGCTCACAGCCGCGAGTTTATTCTCCAGCATGAATGTTTTGATGCTTCTCTGAAGATTGACGTTGACTGAAACTCTTCCCACATAGCTCACAGGTGAAGAGGCTGATTTTTAAGCAAGGTCCTCCAGTTCCTTCTTCTCGTTCATCATCTGATCACCGCAGATCTGATCTCCCCAGTATGAGATATAGTAAAACATGCTCAAGAGGGTTAACAGGGAACTCTGGGGCTGATGGGGCAGTGGGGAGAAACAGAGGCTAGAGGGAGGAAGAGCCTCCGCCTACTGGAAGGACACTGGCTCAATGGCTGGGATGGTAAAAAAAGCAGGCTGATGAATCCTCAAAGTGCCACTTTGCCTGAAACTCTTCAGATTTTTAAGCAAGGTCCTCCAGTTCCTTCCTCTCGTCCATCATCAGGTTTTCTTTTGGGGACGTTGTGGACTTCTGCGGAGAACTTTAGATTTGATTAGTTATATTTTTTACAGTAAACTAAAATGATACTCGCACATTACCTTGATTTATAGGAGTGTTTTTTATTTCTCCCCGAGGTAGCACTGAAGACTGGCCGACCATCTTTACGCTCTGCTGACACACACACACACACACACACACACACACACACACACACCTCAAGAGCGCTACTGAGTCTTCCCCACAGTTCAAACGCTCAGCGTTGGCTCCGAGAAGCCAGGGCTACTACCTGGGATGCAAAATAGTCATTGTATGCATTTCCCCTGGTTCCATTTTACACAATTTACATCCAATACAAAAGGGGCTAAAATGCCAGATAAATACACCTAACTGGTGTGTCTTTACTCTGACTTATCATTACATGTCATTTGTAGTGTTTTCAGGTCCACCTCTTTGATGACCTTGATGTCCTCGTCTCTTAAACCTCATCAACGTTTGAGGCCAACTGAGCCCATCAGCCGGACTTTTGTTTGTGCTGTATATTATACGTACTGTATGTATCAAAGAGGATCTAAAGAACAGATTCAGAATCATCTTTTTTAATACAAAATATGTTTTCCAGCATAATCATACAGAGTGCATTATTCATATCCATATCTGTAAAACTAACCAGCATGTATGAGTGGACAGTCACTACATCAAACAGACAGTAAACCTGCAACACCAGTCTGAGCTTTCTTCATGCAACATGACAGAGTTCATCTTTAACGTCGGTACATTTACTGGTAGACAAGCGTGGCAAGACGTCGGCATTCTGGAAGCTTTCGTATACATTCAACTGTTCAGGGTCGACAAGGCAGAAACTTCATCTTTTTGTCTGTAAAAACTCAGAAAATAGTGGAAAAAATAAAAAAAAGCAGCAAATCCTCACATTGAAGGAACTGCAATCAGACTTTATGGTGATTTTGCTTCAAAGACAAACAAAACAACAACTGAGACTTTTCTTTTGATCAACTAATTGATAAATCCTCTAATCGTTGCAGCTCTAGTGTGTCGACTGGAGTAGAAATCCTCGGCCACAAACCAGAAGAATGAACAGATGCGTACAATTACAGAAAGCCAGTCTGCTAAAAAAAACTAAAAACCTTCGGGGGTTATTTACAGTATTAGTTCAGTTACATTCTCATAAATAAGCAGTAGGTTGTTACTCGGACAACATGCAGGTATCAACAAAAAGCTTATGTTACTGTAATGCCCTCCAACAACTACAATCCGATGACACCACTGTGCAGATCATGCACTTTTACACATTTCTTCTCCTCATCGTGGTACACAGATCAATATTTAAGTACGGTTGGGCTGTAAAAACTGTATATATACACACAGTGGCTCCAGGACGCACAGCCCTGGACAGAATGAATTCAGTAAGGCTGTCCAGAAACAGACTTTTGGCTGTTGAAAGATGGTGAAACCTCACATACTTTGTTATGCAGCGTGGCAGTGTGTGTGTGTGTGTGTGTGTGTGTGTGTGTGTGTGTGTGTGTGTTAGCAGTCGTCATGTCTGTTAGTCCTGCGCGTGCGTAGCTCGTCCTCCAGGTACGTGATCCGCTCCATCAGAGCGGCTCGGTCGGCCTGAGCCCTCCGGTCGGCCTGCCAGCGAGCCTCCTGCACCTTCCTCTCGTACCAGCGCTCCATCTGCGCCGACACCGCCTCGAAGAAGTACTGGGTCACCTCCTGAGCGTGCATGTTGTCCCTCTCCTGAGCAAAGGAGGGTTCACTGGGCTGGTCTCCGAAGACCTCCAGAGTCCGGACCCCTGTGGCCCCTCTGGACTTAGTCCTGGCCTGGGAGTGCTTCTTGTGGTGTTTCCCTCTGAGCCCGGCTTCAGTTCTGCCGCTGCAGCGGCGCTCTGTGGCCGGAGACAGGCTGCTGGATCTGTAAGTCCTGCTCCCCTTCGCCCCGTACTCCCTGTCCATGTCCTGCAGGTCCTGGTTCTTCCTCTGGGTGTCAGCGCAGATCCCAGGACGCTCCTTGGGCCGAACTACCTGGACAGACGACAGCGGGCTCTTGGCTGGTGCAGGAGAGGAGACCTCTGCATTATGAGCCTTATCCCCATCTGTTAAATGTTCAGAAGAGATCCAACGATTACACATTATAGTTACACAGCAAATACTCTTTAGTATTAGCCTTCAGTGACTCTGAATCATGAACAAGCATGCCAGAGGCAGAGATTCAGTGACGATGTCTTTCTATCCCATAACCCTCTGAACCTCAAGCAGCTTCTAAGAATGAACTTAATGTCTTTCACAGTATCTGGGGTCTCGTTTATTCATTACAGGTATAACGATGCCGCTCACGTTACTTTGCACTTCTATATTCTCTCTGTCATCCACAGTGAAACCAGCGGTGTTATTTGTGCTTGTACTTGTGTAGATAACTGTTAACACATTTTAATAACGGATATAAACCAACTCAAATCTCGCTTGATATTTCACCAGCGCTGTGCGATTCCCAGAGCTCAGAGACCGAACTACCGACACATCAGCGAGATTTTAAATGAGACATGAACAATTGTATGTTTTTGATGAATTCCACCAAATTTAAGGTGCATTTTTGGCTGCTTTTTCTGTCAGCAGCGTTTCTCACAAATGATGTGTTCAAGGACCGTCGGAAAGATGTGAATCTGATGATTATGACTGTTTTTTACAGCTTCAGGCTACGATAAAACGGTGTAGTTTTTCCCGCTGGATACACCTCAAAGTAGTCACATTTTTCTTCATCAGGATGATTTGTTGCTGCAGTGGCCTCGTAGGGTTCAGCTTAATGCACCGCATTTTTTTAATCCACAAGAACAAACCCGTGGCGGTGCGAAGCCGTTTAGCAGAATTAGATGTTGTTAAAGGGTGTTTGAACAAGTTAATAAGGTGTTTGTGGAGGCGTTACCTGGAGAGCTCTCCACATGAACCACAAAGTAGTGGTTGGCTGAGCCGCCCTCTGCCGCACTGGGACTGTCGTGGAGCTCCAGGCACTGCGAGCTGCCTCCCTGGCCAGAGGGCGGCACAGTGAAGCCGGCTCCGTTGGCTCCGTCGGCCTCGTTCAGGCCCTCGGCCACAGAGGAGCAGCGCCGCAGCTCGGTGCTGCCGGGGGGTCCTGTGAAACGAAGGTCCATGTTGTGCAGCTTGGACAGACACCAGCTCTTCAGCTCGCTGACCAGGGACGCCTGCTTAAAGGGCCGGTACAACCACACACAAGAGTCCATATGGGTTAATGTAAAGAGAGAGCAGGACTCCAGACTGTGTTTACATCAATGATGCTTGGTGCTCAAAGCTAGTCAAATGTCGGCCATATTATCTGCTCTATCAGCCTTGAATCCTTCAGCCCTGAGGACACGATGGGCTTGAATTTTGTACATCTCAGACAAAACGTTCAAGTAAAACCATCTGAACATCACTAGAACGATACCTTGCAACCTAAATACAGAGGTATACAATGCATCGTGCCGTGTGATGACCTCAGCGATGACTTCATCAGCTGCAGAGCCTGTGATTGGCTGTTGGTGTTACCTGTCTCTTCTCTGCCTCCAGCCGCTCCTGCAGGGCCCGCTGCTCGATCCTCTGCAGACACTCGGTCCTCTCAGCGGACAGTCGCTCCACCGTCATCTTATCGAGAGCTCGGATCTGACGGGAAAAAAAAAAAAAACACAAGTCGCACACATCGAGTGCAACTAGAAACATGGCGGACGAGGAGGCTCGTCTTCGTCGAGCTGGTCACTTTTCCTCTACTTAGAAGTTAGCGCTTTAGGCTACCAACAAGCAAAAACCACCTCAAGCAAGCGTAAAAAACTGTTCTGCCCAATTTAGGGAGTTTTATCAAATGTTGTTGTTTCCATACAGCTTTTCTAACTTCTTCAAAATGTAGAGTAAACATCTTTATGACTTGAGAGTCCCTCCGTCTAGGAATTGTTTACCTTCCCATGTTCCTGTCTTGTGTTAAACTTTGGGCAAACGCACCTGCTTCTGTTGTTCTCATCTTGTTGATTATACACTGCTTCCTGCATCCACTGTTGTATTTTCTCATGTACATCTGAAGTCAGTGGAAGCAGACATATTTCCAATAGTGTGTAGTGCTTTTGCCAACAGTGTCAGAGCATACTGATCGACCAATTTGTCGCATGAGAGACGCAGAATTTCCGCGAGGCAGCCGTCACCTGTGGCCCCTACATTAGCATGTAGCATGTGTACGGTACCTGGTGTTTGTTCTTGCGGTCCAGCTGGCCCATCTTGCTGTTCATCAGGTCTTGGACAGTGTGGATTTCAGTCTTCATCTCCTCTTTGGTGGCCTCCAGCTGGTTCTCCAGTTTACTGATGAGAGGTTCACAGCGGCAGCCGCTCAGAGGAGCCTGAAAACACACCGCGAACATGAACCAAACGGGCACACGCAGCAAACATGGCCCTGGACTGGCTGACTGACACATTTATATAAGTATTTAGTCTTCATCGATCGTCCATATTTACTATGGGGCCACAGTAACACTTTGAGCACTTACCTGCATGACCTTGCCGTCCTTGCCGCGGTACAGCGTGTAGAGCTGATAGGCCTTGTAGTTGTGTGGAGGGATGTTGGCTCCTCGCGGTTTGCATTTCCTCTTGTGGAAGCCTTCGCTGGTCCTGGTCTCTCTGCGGCGGAGCGGGTCGGACAAAGACGGCTGAAACATCAGCAGCACCCGGGGTTAGTTATTCCATCTCAACGAGCGCTACTCGTTTTGTCTTCTCCTGTCCAGAACTTCAACTAGCAAACGGTGCGCTTTCCTTTTTCTTACATCAGTACGGATTCAAGTGTGTTTTTGTAACTGAGGTGAGTTCAGGGACCTACTTTCTCTTTCTGCTTCCTGTTCTTTCCCATCTTGGCGTTCGGCTCGGTTATCTCAGCATGTTTGCAGGCGGCTCGGTCACTGCTCTGGGTGTCATCTGCTGCACTGTCCTGAAGGGAACATAATGTTAATTTGAGTTAACTAAAAAATATTTATATTCATACAAGAGCAAGCTCTAAAAACTAAAGTTTTCCCTTGTAAATATCGTTCTGTTCTTCACTTTCATCCCAAGGTTTTTAGGTTTTTTCTCATCCCTTTCCTTTCTCTTATTTAAGCAACTTAAACTACAAACACAATAATTTAAACCTGCTTTCACACACCGGTCCAGCTTTTACCTTACAGTGCAGCACCTCATCTCTGGGCACAGACTGAGCTCTGCCCTCCGCCTTCAGCTTCTCTCTCCTCTTCCTCGCACTCCTGCCACGCACAAAACTCTGCACCTTCACACACACAGGAAACAAAATGACTGACTACTTATATATATGTAATGAAATAGTATGTAGTAGGAGCCCAGAAATGAATCTCTATGTATGAGTATTGTTTACAGCTGCCTGTGCTGGTTGTCTACTTGCTGTTTACTGGTGTTACCTGAGGAGCTTTGGTCAGCAGAAGAGCCACGTCTGGGTTGTTGTGTTCTCTGGCCTGGACCAGAGCCGTCTGACCCGCCTGCACAAACACACACAAATTAGCACACAAACACCTCTTCTGAGCATTAACGACGTGGAAAGAGGCTGCAGGAACTCACCTTGTTGCAGACGTGGCTGTCTGCTCCGGCCTCCAGCAGCAGACGCACCGTCTTCTTATGATTCAGAGCAGCAGCCACGTGCAGCGGCGTGTCGCCAGCCTGCACACACACACACACAACAAGATATAATATGAATTAAGTATTACCATAAATATGCATACTATTATAACTATGCATTTACAAACTTAGTTACTAAAACGTTTGTTCCTCGGGAGCTTAAAGTGAGCTACAGAGGCTAGAAAAATCCAGCACTCTGGGAATTTTGACAGCAAAACCGTTAAATACGTTAACATTAATTTATTTCATGACGTAACGGTTGACTTTATATCCGGATAGGGAGGCCATGAGGTGCCCCTTCCGGTGCCCCTCATATTCAGAAAAATATGTAGTAGTAGTTGTTACTGTTTGAATTATGTCATGAATGTTGGGAGTAGAACTTCTCTGAACTGTGGAAGACCGCACGTCTCTCGCTGCTGCGTGCCAAAAAGTCAGCTGGATCCGGTTTACAATCAAAAATTATTTAATAATTACAGAGGCTAAACAGTTGCAATCTGAATTAAACTATCGATAGAAATATGTTTCATGAAACAGAGACCACATACACGCATCCCACTCACAGGTCTGGCCCCTCCAGGTACTGAAAAACAAGAGCGGATGTGGTCCGACCTCTGCTCCCTAAAACATCGTCTTTTATATCCCCCGACAGTCGGAAAGTGTCCGAAACTGTCCTAAAACGTAACTCCTCCTCCTCTCTGTGACCTGCTGCACTTCCTGTAAAACCTCACTCAAAATTATCTCTTTCTGACCCTCAAAACTACTCATACAGTGTTTTAATACCTTTAGTGACTATACTTTAATACATTCAATGAGTAAAATACTGTAACATATAATACATTCCATAAGTAAACATATTGTGACACTTCTACTTATGATTTCTTAATTATGAATCATTAAACACTTCTAGTTATAATTTCTTAAAGCACACTTCTAAACCTAAATTTCCTACATGAACTACAATTTAAAAGATAATTTTGCAAGCCAAGAAAGTCGCAGTTTTATGTCAAAATGAGACTTTCTTGGCACACAAAATTAGCTTTTAAATTGACAAACATCTCACTATTGACTACATTTTTTCCAAAATAAAGGTCCCATTGTGGTCAAGCGGAAGGGGAGGGACTTGCAAGATAAGGGCTGCTTTAAAAGAGTATTTTGAGCGATTTTTAACCATGAAATGACTTCACATTGTGTAGGAGTTGTCACTATTAACACCAGAATGAATGCGTTTCATCACAGTAGAGTCGTTAGGTTCACAGAATAAAACAACATGTTTCAGTATGCAGTTACTGAATCATTTTGAACTCACCAGGTTTTTCTCCGACACGGAGCAAAAGGCTCCCAGCAAGATGCGGATCACAGCCACGTGGTTGTAGCGAGCCGCCACGTGCAGACACGTATCCCCCGCCTGGAAAACACACATTTAGCAAGTTTACGTTAAGTTTATGTTATTTAAAAATGGTGAATGTGTCGCAGCAGAATGCCAAAACTAATTGTAGTTCTTTGTGATGTTATGGATGCAAAATAGCCCCAGACCTCAAAACTGAGCATTGAATGGAAAACACCTTCAGCTAGAACGCTAAAGTTGGTCTGAGGCTCTTGATATGTTGTGTCACCGACAGCCAGTGACAGAGCGGTGATGCTACTGCTTCATACAAATACGTTTAGCATGAAATGGTTTTGTTGGCTACTTGCAAAGCAGTTGTCTTTGTAAACACACAAACAACAACAATCTGACTGCACTGCCCTTTTTTACCGCCTGGGGGCAGTGCAACACAGCAGTGTCAACACAACTTCTGACATTCAGTTTTTAAGGTAAATGCAAACAAGGAGCCACAGGAGGAATTATTATGAGTCATATCTCCGTCCACCTGATGAGTGAAAGTCCAACATGTACTCCCGTTAGATCTAAAGGGGGGGGGGGGGTTACAGTGTGGGCAAAGGGTTCCAGAGGTGGAGAGATAACGCTAACTATCATAACTAACATAAGTCTTACATGGTTCTTGTTGTCGGGCCTGGAGCCTCCCAGGAGCAGAACCTTGGAGCTCTGAGCGTGACCGTTCTGACAAGCAAGGTGGAGCGCCGTGTTTCCTGCCTGCAAAACACAAAGTCAGCATTTATTGGTTTACTAAAAAAGTTAATAACTTGCTGGTGACGCCAAACAAAGAAATCACACTTCTGCTCTGAAAGTAAGATTACAAAATGACGATGCAGAAGCGCCGCAGTAGTTCAATAAGTCAACAGAAAGCCCTGAACCACTGCTGAAGCAGTTCTGGACAGTTCAGAGCCGGTTTAAGTTGCACAATCACCTTGTTTTTGGCGTGAGCGTTGGCTCCGGCCTTCACCAGCACTTTGACCGACTGGCTGAATCCGTGCCAGGACACCTCGTGGAGAGCCGTGTTACCATCCTGACGAGACAAAAAGGCTTCAGGATACTTCCAATCATGGAGATTCTCTTCATAACTCTATAATATGGAACCCATGAAGGATTACGTTGGTACATTGATGATGGCTCCGTCTACACGTCTTTCCTCCTGATATTTTAATAAGCCCTGGCAAAATGTGACCGCACATAATAATGTTTTACATGTTCTTTGTGAAATGTGTTTGCGTTTCAGAGCGATCATCCAAAATGAGCCAACAGTAAAGGATTTATGTGGAAAAGGGCTTAATCAAAGCGTGCGTGGTAATACTGGCTGGATTAATTCACCATTAAAAGGATAGTTTGGATGTTTTAAAGTGGGGTTGAATGAGGTACTTATCCTGAGTCAGTGTATTACTTACAGTAGAGTTTAGACAGACAGGAGTACCAGCAACAAAGCAAAGAGATGTACATTTGATAAATCACAACTTTGTTTTTGTAAACATATACACGTATTAAATACTTTATAAATGAGACCAAATTAAAGTTAACAGGCTCTCCTTATTTCCCTCTCATCAGTAGAACAAACCTAGCCTGTCATATTAGAGTCAATGTTATAAGTAGGCTACAATGATCAGAGCAATACCAACATGTGGCTCAAAAATGTACTGCAGACATAAAATCTCCTGACTCAGTCATGGTTAGCACAACCCAAATAACCCAAACAAAGTAATCAACGGACCAGAAACTCAAGAACAGCTGTTTTAGTGAAAGCAGTCGGGTGGCTTTCAAGAGAAGCGTAGATAACAGTTTCAGTTCCCTGACAGAAAGCAACCGCAAAGCACCTCATACAAGCCCCCTTAAAAACACACCCCACCGACATGCATCACCATTGTTGTCTAATGTCCGTTTGTGCGGCAGAAAAGAACAAAACGCACTCAAAACTAATTCCACCGGCCTGTCGAGCTGCTAATAAATAGTCTAATCTCAAGTTAAGTTTCTACTTAAATACACTTTTATTAATGCACTTTATTTCAGCACACACGACTCTACTCTTCATGAGGGAATGAGGCTAAGCAGATTACAGGCCCACTGGTTCCTCTATGATTATCACATGCTTTAATGCAGTCATTATCATGGCTTTAAATACCCCCGTGTGTGTGTGTGTGTCTTTTGATCCTCACCTTGTCCTGTCTGTCCAGTGCACACCCTTCCTGGATGAGAGCGTTGATGACGTCGCTGTTTCCCACCATGGCGGCCCGTTGTAACGCCGTCTGCTCCCCCTGCCAATAGAAACACACACACACATACACACACACACACACACACACACACACACACACACACACACACACACA